GTAATTTCAACATAAAGCTGGTGTGTTCTACTATATATTGTCAAAATATTCATTGTTAGTATTTTAAAACTATAACACCCTGCTACATTTTTATTATTTGTGTTTGATAAGAAAAAACTAAGATTTCAATAGTTGGGCCAACTGAAGTGGGAAGAGGCTCGTATCAGGGCGCTAATGAGGCAACTATCTTTGCTTTTGGAGATGTACCTAAGAGGAGGAGGCTCATATTGTTCCAGAGGCGATCTCGTTTTTCTACCATAGGCTGTTAAGCAAAACGACTCTATCTAAGGTTTGGCGGCGTGCACCGCCATCTTGTCTAAGCTGGGGTCAACACAAGGGTCGTAGTTACTGAAGGCTAGGGGTCACCCTGAAAATCGTCCCAGGTTACGAGAGGGGACTCGCATGTCAAGTTCCCGGAATCATTATATTATTTTGAGTGGTGAAATTTTAGTCTGATGATGATTCGGTACGCAGATTAGGTTACTTTACAATTATTATATCAGTATTGTCTGTTATTAAATTTGAAGAGATTTGTTTAACAGAATGGCGAAAAGAATTCTGCTCTTTGTTTATTAGGAACCAAAACCCTTGGATCAATGTGTGAAAGGTTGCTTCCAACTCCCCAATGGCCCGTCATAAGATGGAGAATTATACAGGGTGGTCCATAAGTCCTTTGAAATTTCAAATTTGAATAAAATTTAACGGGTGAGCGTGAGCGGCGCGGGCGAGGTGGGGGCAGTATCTTCAGTGTCTGGGAATTCAGTCGCCATGGAGTGTTTCACTGGAGCGGATCGTGCTTTTTGTGTGCGCGCGTTTTATCAAAATAATAATTCGGCAACCATTGCGCGGCGTAAATATCGAGAATACCACAATTTTACAAAGTGTCCAACAGCTCAAACGATTATGAACTGGGTTCCTAAGTTCGAAGAGACTGGTTCGACGTTAGATAAACAGTGGTGGGGTCGACCAAGGACAACTCGTATTGAAGAAAACATCAACATTGTGGCACAGTCTGTTCGTCAAAATCCTACCCAGTCTACTCGTAAGCGTTCCAGTGCACTAAACGTACCCAGAACATCTTTACAGCGGATTTTAAGGAAAGATTTACGTTTGCACGCTTACAAAATTCAGTTAGTGCAGGAATTAAAAGATAATGACGCTATTCAGAGACTAAACTTTGCGAATGAAATGTTGAATCGATTTTCTTCGCTCAATATGTGTTGTTCTCGGACGAGGCTCACTTCCATTTAAACGGGCATGTAAATAAACAAAATTGCCGTTATTGGAGCCCCGAAAATCCAAGGCGTAAGCATCAGAAGCCCTTACACAGCCCTAAAGTTACAGTTTGGGCTGCTATGTCAGCGCATGGCATCGTAGGCTCTTATTTTTTTGAGGACGACAGAGGTCGCGCATTAACTGTTACTTCGGAGCGGTATGTAGCAATGATAGAAGAGTTTTTGACACCAGCGTTGCAGAATTTTCCAGGCTATGATACGCAGACCTGGTTTCAACAGGACGGAGCAACTGCCCACACCTCCAATACTTCTATGCCCGTCGTCTGTCAACTTTTTCCCAGCAAAGTAATTTCTCGAAGAGGGGACATTTCCTGGCCACCACGTAGTCCAGATTTGACCCCAATGGACTTCTTTTTATGGGGCTACCTCAAGAGTAAAGTGTACGACACCACTCCGTGATCAGTTGATGTCCTGAAAGAAAATATCCGAAGAGAAATGGCAAGCATTACAGTGTTGACTTACCGCGCAGTCATCGACAATTTTAGACGTCGTTTATATGAGTGCCGTGATCGTAATGGATTGCATTTAGACGATGTGATTTTTAAAACATAATTCCCATTCAATAAAGATGATAACAAAATATAATAATTCTTCATAATCTAACTAGTTTAGTTTTATTCCTTTTCTTCCAGCTCAAAGGACTTATGGGCCACCCTGTGTTTCTTAACTTTTTGTCTTGCCTGCTTTCCCTAGCAATTCAACATTCATTCTTGGCACGGTGATTGTGCTACGCCTATGAAATCGTAGATAATGAGATGATAAGCAGATAAGCATCCCAGCTTAGTGTAATTGAATGATATTGTCCACAGAGATCCAGTGAATGGCGCTCGTTAGGCACGTGGCTGGATTTGGTCGTATATACGGCAAAACGTGTGGGGCACTGCCGCTATTTTTTGGAGGGGATTATTAATAGTCAAATAGTCGATGTTGATAAGGACTATAACTATATGAATATGTCAATGCACTGAGAAATGGGAATCATTTTACACGAGATTTGGGCTGTAATTCTTGTGAATTCTAGATGTACGAGTAGACCGAAGAAGTCGCATAAAATAGTATGTGTAGTCGGCTCTCAAATTATTAGTGGCAGTAAAGTTTTATATCGTCTTACGTCTTTATGTTCACATACGAGGTTTGTAAATTTAGTGATGAGGGGCCGTTCAAGTATTACGTGAGCACTATGGGGGGGCGGGGAGGGGGGGTCTTTGCTTTGCTTATTTTGGATGACATGGGGGGTAGGGGAGTCTAGATGAAGATTACGTCATCGGTAGTTATTTACTTTTTTATACGAATGGCAACCCTCACATTGTCTTTGCTTGAAAACGAAACGCATTTTCGGGGATTCCCGCAAATAATGCATACGTTTAGTGAACAGCGCGCGGTAATTCTCCTACTCGCTTTAGAACCGAGTAGAGGAATTACCGCGCGGTGTTCACATGTGTAAATTTCCTCAGTGTATTGTTTCGTTTGGATACTATAGCGAGTAGACGTATTGTAGGTATAGTAAAGCAAGTTAACATTTGTGTTACCATTGATTCCATTAGCCAAGGTTTAATGTTTAAATAAGATTGTCGTTTCAGATAGACAAATCCAAGTTATACCAAAAATTGTTTGAAAGTTATAAAAAATCTCATACAAGTACGAAAGTACAAAATGTACATAAGTTAGTTAACGAAGTGTGGCGAAATTACAAATTACAAGCAAAATCCGACAAGGAACTAGATATTATTATATCTAAGATAATCGAAGAAGAATTGCAAGCGGCGACTAAGAATAAATCCAATCTACTAATTTTTTTTTTCTATGAAGAGTGACGAAATCATTTTAGGTACCTATGAGTTCCAGAAATATTAGAAATCGCCAAAAAGTTTCTCTTTACTGATTAGAAAATATTATGGCCTATCTCAAACTATAGAGGTAATATTATTATATTAGAGATTTATTTCTTATGATTGATTTCGTTAATTGGTCACAAAGTACAGGATGTTAGTTTTATACATATATACCCTGCATTTTGTGACCGGAACGAATTGCTCGTTTAAACATTTTAGATTTAAAGCCATAGGGTTTTGTATTTACCATATATATTGCCATACTTTATATCTATGTAGCTTAATAAGAGAATCTTTAGCAGAAGCCATAGAAAGTTTTAATTTTTAGGCAACCTGTAAACCTGCAGAAAAAACACAAGTTATACAGTCAGCTTCAAATATTAAAAAAGAGGAAGAAGATAAAATAAAACCCGGTAATGAATCACAACAGCAATGCGAAATTAATGAAAATACAGATAAACAGAGAGCAAAACCTTCTCAGGAAGCTATGAAAAATAAGATTGCGCTACTCGAAAAAAATCTGAATGCTTTGTATTCTTCCAGAGATACTATGTCAAGTCGTGGTGAAGTTGATAAACAGATCATTAAGTTGCGCGAGGAAATAAAAACAGCAAAACAGTCTTTAAACAGGAAGGTTCAAAACGCAGTTGCCCAGAAGAAACACAGGGATGGTATGAAAAAAAAGTTAGAAGATGTTTGTCATGAAAATCCAGATATAAAAAAAAGATATCTCTGAGGGATTCAGTGGGACGTCCTAATCTTGAAAGCAATCAACATTCACTATTGAAAACCATCGCGGATATAGCTTTATTTGGGAGTGCAGCAGATTATATAAGACGAACGCAATCGATTCGCAGCGTAAAAACTCTTGATGAACTCACACAAGAATTACGTAAAATAGGATTTGACATTAGTCGCAGTGGGACATATCTTCGTTTGATTCCCAGAAAATCTAATTCTGCAGAGGGACGAAGACATGTATCGACAGTCCCTGTTAAGCTCATTCGGGCTCAAACTTATCACCGCAAGAGCCACTTAGATAGCAAGTTCGCTGAAACATCAATCCATTATTTAGAGAACATAGCATCCATACTTGGACCAGATCAAGTATTTTTCATATCTCAAGATGATAAAGCTCGAGTCCCTATTGGCGTAACTGCGGCAAATAAGCAAGCACCTCTTCTAATGCACATGGAATGTAGAATCAAATTGCCTGATCACGATTGGGTAATCGCTGAGTGACATAAATTAATACCATCTATGTATGCTGGTATTAAAATCACTTCCAATATGCTAGGACAACCGCAAGCCATTGGATATTCTGGACCAACATACATCGCTATTCGAAGTGGAAAGCATAGTTCATCTACTGCTAATGCTCATGCTCAGGATTTCGAGACGCTTCTCGAACTTGAAGAGTTTCGACCATTAGCTAATACTGACCATGGACTAGTTAAATCAGTGGTAATCATGACGGTTGATGGAGGGCCAGATGAAAATCCACGTTATCAAAAAGTCATAGGGTTTGCTATACAACACTTTAAGCGACATGATCTCGATGCATTGTTGTGAGCTACCAATGCTCCTGGAAGAAGTGCGTCTAACAGAGTGGAGCGCAGAATGGCTTCTCTTAGTCGGGAACTGACTGGTTTAATATTGCCTCGTGACCATTTTGGCTCTCATTTGGATAAACGTGGCGTTACAATTGATGAACATTTAGAAATATCTAATTTCGAATTTGCAGGAAATGTATTAGCTGTAGTATGGAGTTCAATGGAAATTGATGGCTATAATGTTAATGCAAAATATGTTGGGGCAGGTGAACAACATCTTCCTGATTTTCCAAACATTAAATGGTATTCAGAACATGTGCGTTAGAGCCAATACTTGCTTCAAATTGTAAAATGTAGAAATACAGAATGCTGTCGTCCAAGAAGTGACCCATTTAGATTACTAGACAATAGGTTTCTTCCACCACCTGTAAAAGTAAAACAAACAGTTGACGACTTGGTTTTGGATGAAGGAGGGCAATTTCTTAATCTTTCAGTCAATTTAGCTCTACGCTTAAGTGCTTCCCTCAAAGATTTCCTGCAAATGCCCTACGATTATTTTTTTCCGACGGTAAAATTGAGGCTATCAAGTCGAACATGCAAAACGTGTGGTCTTTATCATGCTTCGGCCAAGTCACTAAATCGTCACATCGAAAATGTCCATAAAAAAGTAAACACGCACACTGATAGGAAAGTTAGACCTGTAAGAGTCGTTGCTCGTCGTGCTAATGAACTGATGTGCATTATTCAAAATTTAGACCACCATGATGTTGAATGGCTCGATGAAAACGATGTAGACATTCCAAAATCCGATGAAAGCAAGCAAACTCACAACACTGAGCAGCAATCGAAGCAATCCAATTTCATGGACTGAAGACTGTTAATTTGAATTTAATATATGTACCAAAAATTTAAAATAAGTTTGTTATGTTAGTAAGATATAATATTTTTGTCCTTTACTCTATGTTGAATACCGTATCAGTAAAATATAATCTCTAACCTAAATCTATTTTCTTATTTTTCAAACTATATATAATTATAACGTTGTAACTATAATATTGAAAAAAAAACAATACATTAATTGACAAATGTTCACGCAAGCATGGGGGAAGGAGGTAAGAGCTTTGCTTACTTTTGCTGACAAGGGGGATGGTGGGTAAATAATTGTAATAAATCTGCTTACGTAATACTTGAACGGCCCGTGAGACTGATTTTTTAAATATTATTCAATGCTCTTCTTTGTTCATTACAAAACAAAAGGATCGAGGATTTTCTTGAATTAACTTATAGATTATCATTCGTAGAAAATTTTATCAAGTCATCAACCTCATGTTGCAAAATTTCTCTAGTTCTCTAGTACGGAAACGAGTTTTTGGTGTTGTACGTATACATGTCATATAACATCCAAAAACCTATCATATAATATCTCATTTTCGAAATTTGTCGCCATTACAATACTTCCTTTAGTAGCGTAGGCAGCGAAGCTCCCAAAAGGAAATGCAGCCCTTCTATATAGGATAGCCATTTGGAATAAGGAGATGGATTGGAAAAGGGCAGGGTGCAGAAAAAGAAATGTACCTCTGCCATCTTTAGGGCATTATCTTTTATTATTATTATTATTATTATTATTATTATTATTATTATTATTATTATTATTATTATTATTATTATTATTATTATTATTATTATTATTATTATTATTATTATGATAATTGAGATGAGCAGGGTACACAGTACTATAAGCTCATGCAGTAAATATAGTGTTCGGACACGTAACACAAATACATCAAATAGAAAAAAAAAGACAGTTCATAGCTATAAAGTTTGTACACTCCTCCAGCTATCATACTGCACTTTGAAGCTATTAACTGAAGTAGCACCAACCACACTTTCAGGTAAACTATTCCAGGTGTTGAATATGCGGTTGGGAAGAAACCACTGTCGGACTGTTGTTTTAAATGGCTCCTTATGCAGTTTGAAGCTGTGTCCGCGTAGATTGCTGCGCGACAGACGGTATAGATGCATACTATAAGATCGCCACGAAGTCTTCGCTCAGAGAATGAGGTCAGGTTGAATAATTCAAGGCGATCTTCATAGCTTGGTCTTCGTGCTCCAAAAGGGATACGAGTAGCCCGACGCTGTACTGATTCGACGAGATTTCTATCGCGCAGAAGCACAGTGTCCCATACCGGGCCAGCGAATTCAAGAATTGGCCTCACGAATGCCTTGTAAATGTAGGCGCAAGTGTTGACATCGGATCCTTTGAAAGACCTCTCCAGCATGTATAGAAGTTTCTTGGCTTTTGATGTAACGTGGTGAATATGCTCTGACCAGGAAAGACGATCGTTGACTACAACGCCCAGATCAGTGTGGCTGGAAACTGTTTCGATGTTGTGGTCAGAGATCTTGTATGTAAATCGCGGATTTGTCTTCCCGATGTGAAGGACACAACACTTAGTTAGATTTAAGGGTAAAAGCCAACTGACTGACCATTGACAAACAATATCAAGATTTCGTTGAAGCATAGCAGAATTTACGACAGTATTGTAAATCTTGGTGTCGTCGGCATAAGCTGAACATGTGGAGGAAATCAATGCGGGCAGGTCACTTGTATACAGAAGGAACAGCACTGGCCCCAAGACAGAGCCTTGAGGAACTCCACTTGCTACATGATGAAGGTGAGACTGGCTATCACTGACACGCACAGAGAAAGTCCTCCCGGTGAGAAAAGCCTTAATCCACAACAACAACTCGCCTCTTATTCCCATACATTCCAACTTAAACAGAAGCCTTCTATGTGGTACGCGATCGAAAGCCCTAGAAAAATCTAAGGAGATTATATCAACAGGAGTCTTTGTGTCCAGATACTGAGTCCAATCGTTGAGAGAGTGGATAAGGTTGGTCATTATTGATCGACCAGGGAGAAATCCATGCTGATTCTTAGGGATAAGGTCATTTTCGAAAGCAAATGACAGGAGCTTATCTAATATGATTCTTTCAGTTATTTTGGCGGCGATAGGAACGAGACTTATTGGTCGATAATTTTTAGCGGAGGATTTGTCGCCCTTTTTGAATACAGGGGTAACAGAAGCACTAAGCCAGCATGAGGGTAGGGTATGAGATCTAAAAGACGATGTGAGTATCAAGCTTAATGGTAGGGCCAGTGCTGAAGCGCAGTTTTTAAGTACAGCAGCCGTCATCCCATCTTTACCAGGGGAGGAAGAGGTCTTCAGATTTCGCAGGTGCACTAATACATCTTCAGGCAGGAACTCAACTTCGCAAAGGCTGTTGGGACACCTATGGCAGATAGTGGTCGGTAGAAGGTCTTCATTAGGCTCATCGACGAAGTCATCACTAAAGGACTCTGCCAGTAAGTTGGCAGATTCGGTGGCATCCATGTGGAGATGACCGTCAGCGTCACGGATCTGAGGTGATGAAACTTTGGAATTCAGGTTTGTTCTTAGATACCGAAACAGCTTCTTCTTATTTTTGGAGGTAACGAGTTTTCGTTCATAAGCATGTTTGGCATTATGTAACGTTCTAGATAGGAGGTTAGAAAAGGATCGATGAGACACGTAATCTTGTGAATGGCCACTCCTCCTAAACCGTTGCCACAAAGATCTCTTGGGACGAAGCATCCTCGATATGTTAGAGTTGATCCAGGGCTTTGAGGGGTCACAGTATACCTTTTTTTAAACAGTATTGTCAGCCGTTTCGCTTTGGACTCGTTGAGCGAAAGTATCCCACATATCTTGGGTGCTACAGTTGTTAAGCAAAGCAGGCCAGTTGACTTCAGACAGGGCTTGGTTAAGAGCATCGTGGTTTACAATTTTGATGGTTTTAAACTTATCGGTTGTAGAACGACTATTTATATTGAACTGGAGAGAAGATAAAAGTGAACAGTGGTCAGACTTGCCAAAAGGTGGCAAATAATCTAAATTAGAAACAAAGTTGGCGTCGTTAACGAATATCAAATCCAGAGCCCTAGGCGTCTGTCCTTCCCTGAATCTCGTTGGAGGATCAACAAGTTGAGATATTCTAGAGTTGCGTAGCAAGTCGATGTAAGTAGCAGAAGAAGAATTGCATTCAGGAATGGTTGACATAGGCCAGCTAATGTCACGTAGATTGAAGTCACCAGCTATGAAAAGGTTGGTGTTTTTATTTAAGAGATCTGAAATGAGACTGCACAGGTGTGTGTCTCCCAAACAGGGCCGTGGCCGATATATGCAGTCTATCGTGAAGCTGAAATTTGGGCACCTCAATTCCAAAAACACATTGTCAATGCCATCGAAAGGGCTGAAAGAGGGAGATACCGAGAAAGCCGACGCGATTTCCGTGCGAACATAAATGCATACTCCACCAAAACCAGGAGTGCGTGGTGAATCCATTCTGTATAAATAGTATCCAGGCAAATTGATGGAAGAGTCGGACACGTTGGAATGGAGCCATGTTTCAGTAAGGCAAACGAACGTTGGATTATTGTCTCGAACAAATGCTTGGAGTTCAAGTAGCTTAGAAAAGAGAGATTGTATATTAGTGTAACAAACCGTCCAGTTTGCCACAGAATTTTTCAGTTTTTTGAAAATGTGATCTCCTGGGTAGCTGTGTGTACTATAGAAGGTTTACCACGAACGTATTTTATAGTAATATTACTTTCGCCTGTTGTTTGACGACGTCTAAGCTCTTCGCGAAGGTGTTGTAGTTCTTGCATTTGACCTCTGGTTTTGTCGTCAGAGATTTTTACGTAACGAAGCGTGGGGTGGCTAAGGATGGAGTTTTTCTTCCGCAAAATATTGCTGACGATAATAGGTGAGGAAAACGCTCGATTCAATATTAGCAATGTTAGAAGACAGCTCTGTTTGAGTTACCTGGATATTTTGTATGTTGGTTTCGCAGGCCGCTATTAAGTCATCATGCCGAGAGATCGAGTCCGAATGTTGCTGTAGCAAGTTTCTACAATAAGCAACATCAGTTCTAAGTTGAGATTGAGAGTTCTTAATATCCTTTATGTCACTGGCCATAGTTGATAATTGGTTAAGTATAAGGGTGAGAGTATTGGTAGGGGTAGACTGATCTGGTTGTAAAGGAGCAGTGGTTTCTGAACGAGCACCGCATGTGGAAGAGTTGGATCCGCTTCGGGTAACTCGTCCCTGTTTACAACAGGCTGGGCTAGACCATCGTTCTTTTCCGTGCGACAGATCTTCGTTGTTATCACTGTATTTTTCTACAGTATCCCCATCTTCAGGATCTTTCATGTTTTTATTCTTCTTTCGTACAGTCTGACTCATGTTCCCTTATTCCAGCGGCTATTTCCGGATTACCCTATACACTCTGTAGACTAGTTTCTTAATTTGATTTGACACTATTGACGAAATGTCCAAATGACAAAATGGAATATATGGTAAAATGGCTGAAGATTACTCCCACGGCTCTGGAAACTATCGCCAACAGGTCCACGGACGTACCTCTTCCTGCTCTTAACTTGAACACCTCTGGTTTTAAATATGTTTGGCTTTTCTCCGATATTTTGAGGTATTTACAGTGAATACTAATTTAGTAGTCTACTATATAGTTTGCTGACTATTCCTCCGTTCTTCCGTTTGTGGATGGCCATTGTAATCGAACCCAGATCGATCAAATCCCGCTACCTCTGTGACACAACTTAATCCCGATGACGTATCGGAGGGTGTGTAAAAATCGTTAATGAACCTATAAAACGTAGAAGTTGCAACGTCCCACAGTGGCAGTGTGTACAAATATTGGCACGTTAATCCTGAAACAGCGACCGACCGGGGGTAATCCGGTGACAGCGACACAACGAAATTAAAAACTGCCCCCACCACACTCACAGCCGCCCGTGATCCGATTTTAATTAAATTATTTTGGCGGACTGGATAAGATTACTACATCCCGCAATGTATATAGTACAGTGACAATATGTCGATTTTTTTTGACATTATATTGATTTTTTGTTTCATTGTGTAGGTTTTTATAC